TTCACCAGGGTAGCACGACTACAGATATATACGGTATTAATAAAGCTCTCTGTCATATTTTCACAGCATAATCAATATACATGTAGAGTGTTGTGACTGGTAGTTTTTACTTCTTATTAGTCGTACTAATCTGTTCCTGTAGTAACGTAGCTGTTAACAGACATCAGCAACCCCCTCTCCCTTCCCCAAACGACAAACGAAACCTCAGTCCCAACAATGATATTTTTGTTTTATTTTGTTTTGTTTGTTTCCGTTGTTATCGCATGACTGGTGTACACATATTACAAACTGCTCCGGGCAACTAAAGGTCTCTGTCTAAAGTTCTAAACATATGATACCATCGAGATTGTCCAAGACGGCCACCCATTGTCGAGAAAAAAATGGCCTTCTTAGATAGGTGGTCGTCTTACAAAATTTCTTTATAATGTAAAAAAAAAAAAAAAAAAAAAAAGGCAAAAGGTGGGGGGAGGGGTGGCCATTAGTACATGTAATTGTAATTGTCTTATGCAGGTTGCCGAAAGGGCAGGTTCGACTGTGTCTGTTCCGATATTCGTCTCTAATGGCGTTAACATTAATGGTCATGAAGTCGACCCAACTTTTTCTGCTGTTCCTTGTCCGTCAAGGTGAATGCGACAAGTGCAACCCTGTAACATTGTAGGCCTACTTGCTGCCTTTTACTTTTTTGGGATCCAGAGAAGACTCGGTCGTCTTATCATGCTAACTAGTGACCTTCTCGTCTGAGTGCTGAAGACATACAGTGACGGAAAAGTTGTACCGTACAAATGTGTGCAAAGGACAGAGGCGGCTGCATGTACAGAGCACGCGTGATAGCTTTTCATTTGCATTTCTACACAGTGTATTCTTTGGTGTGCGCGAGGAATTTTTAAAGAATTCATTTCTCTGTTGTGTTTGTTGGTGGTTTCGACATGGTGCGTAATTGCCGCCTGTATTTTGTACATGTACTATGTGTGTTTATTTTGAGGATGTCATGATAACTGTGGAGCTTCGTCGAAGCGTTGCGAGACATAGAAAGTAGAAACACGCTAACTGGACCTTCCCAGGGTACTACTGCTCCCACCATCAAAATGATAATGGATGAGTAAAGACAGAACGCAATGAGACCGAAATGTATGCTCTTGGTTAAAAAAGAGGAGAGGAGGGGGGAGAAGGGAGGCTTATTCAAGATAATGCATGTTCAGAAGGTTTGGGTTCCTGCAAGTAACAGTAAGTCTTCTCGTTGTCAACACATGTGTATGAAGCGAGAGCAGCACGACTAAAGTGTACTTTCAGGATAGAAAACTCGTGTGTAGGACAGGAAGGTTGATGTGAAGAACAGAACTAGGCCTACTTTCACTTCGCCGTGTTAAATGGCCATTGTATATTTTTGTCTTGTTTTTGCTTTTTAAAACCATACAAACAGTATAATATTCTCTTTTTTTTTTGTATGGATATATCTAAAAAGGTCGTTTTTCTGTTCCGTCTTGCGTTAATTTTTTATACTATTAGGAGTCACTCGAACCGCCGATTTGGAAAGCACAACAACAAAACAAACAAAAAAAGCGTTTTGCACCCCCTACAAGCCAAGGTAGGTATGAAACAAGGCCAATGGCCTGGGTCTGTACGTGTCCATCACCAATTGGACAGGGTGAAGAGCGTACCAGACGTCATTTCTGAGCAGTGTGACACCGAACCCTTCCCTTTGAATGAAAGTGATCCGGGATGAAATGTATTTTACATTAAAATCTTTGGTTACGTATCATGAAGAGTTTTTATTAAAGCTCCTTACATTATCATAAGGCAATTGATTGGAGACGTTCTATAATTCCGATAGCTGTCCTGCCTCTTAAACGCGACTTGAGACTACATGTACCATAATAACAGTAACAGAACTGTGAGGATGATTGGAAGGTGCTCTGGTGCGGTTTGCTCCTTCTTTCATATCAAACATTTATTCGCCCTTATCTCTCACCTTTTTCCATGCTTGTTACTCTCTTGTAACCCTCTAATCTTCGGCACTTACATAACTTTATTGTGTTGCAAGTGCCGTAAATCTCTTACTAAAACTAAACGAAAACGACAACTAAAAGAACTGTAAAACCCAAACACCACACTAAAGCATCTTGTTTATTTATCAACAGGCACTACGCTCCAGAGCTAGATGGGCTTTCTCCAACAGCTGATGTCCGGACCTGGGCCCTTGAACTGTCAGCGCTCCGTCCTCTGTGTGTTGAAGAACCACGCTGTAAAACTTGACGCACACTTACGTAGGAGTTATTGCTGTCTTCTCAAATCTGATCGAAGATTTTCATCTATCTCATCCGCGCACAAAATTACCCTCAGACATCAGAATACTTCTATAATCTGCCCAATCACTCGCCGCTCTCTTTGCTGGTCTAAGGGCTGCCCAACAAACAGTGTTCTGACATTGCCTTCGAGCAACGTATCGACAACGTCACTGCGTAATCGTCCACTCTATTCCCCCAACCACACAGTGACTGCTGGTTTACGGATTTTAAGTAACCCTCAAGTTGGCGTAGTCTTGACCTCAAAATCATTCGCCCATATAAAAAGAGAAGCGGTATTGGAAGAGAAATCATTGTCACATCAGAAATCTCACAACATTCTCTTTCCTACACGAACCATGAGTGTACATGGCAAGAACCCCGACCAGATGTCTTCAGCCAGCTCGTCTGTCTCGAAAGGAGAGGCGCCGGCGTCCGACCCGACACGCCTCAAAGACGTTTCGAGAGAAGCACAAACAACTCGAGAAGCAAGGGAGATATTTAACCAGGCGGTCAACGCTGTACTGCCCAGTCAAATGATCCGAAATGTGAGAGAGCTACTGAGTCTTATTCTTTGCGTTTGTCAGTATGCCCCCCCCCCCCTTTTGCCATGCCCGTTTGGCCGACTTGAATGGCCTACTAAATGTGGCCTACCCTGGACGCTCAGATAGTAAGAACGTATAGGGCCTACCACTTATCTCCTTGTCTGTTATTTTATGTCCCGGCCTCCTTCCCTCCCTCCTTCTCTCTCTCTCTCTCTCTCTCTCTCTCTCTCTCTCTCTCTCTCTCTCTCTCTCTCTCTCTCTCTCTCTCTCTCTCTCTCCCTAACTCTTTCCCGCCCTCCTTCTCTGTCTGTCTGTCTGTCTGTCTGTCTGTCTGTCTGTCTGTCTGTCTGTCTGTCTGTCTGTCTGTCTGTCTGTCTGTCTGTCTGTCTGTCTGTCTGTCTGTCTGTGTTCGTCCCCGTAGTTTGACCGCTATGTCTTCAGTCTACTCATTCCGATGCTTTTTCTTCCCGACTACTCTTTCCGTCCCCGCATGCTATAATTTTCCCGTCTGTCTACATGTCTTTGTACCCAACTTAAGATATTATTGTTGGAGGATACTATGGTGTGGTTTGCTCCTTCTTTCCTATCGAACATCTATCGTCCTTTTTTCTCTCCTCCCTTTTTTTAGTTTGTTGCTTTCTTGTAATACTCCTAATCTTCGACATTTATATGACCTAATTGTATTGCAAGTGCCATATAACTCTTACTAAAACAAAACAAAAAAACTCGACTCTAGATCTGTCTGTACGATTTCCTGTATACAGTCGAACCTCGAACCAGTCCAAGACAACTACCCATTGTTGAGGAGAAAAGCAGTTGTTTTAGACAGGTGGTCTTCTTGGTCAGGTCAGATGAAAATGAAGAAAACGATTATTCCATTCTGAATGAGATCCCAACTAAAGATGCTTGCAAGTTCAGGATTGCCGAATGGTCCATTTACACTTTTTTTTCTCTTTTTTTTTGGGGGGGGGGGGTATTTCTTTTGGAATGAGGGGGAAAAAGAGATATTGGGTTATAACGACTCGTCTACAGCGTTTGTGGCCGTTAATTTATTATTGCAACACCTTGGACGATGAGAGATTTGCGTGCTCATTTTGGACAGTTTTTGGGACTTAAAATATAGCGGTCGACTTGAACACTGTCATCATATAAGAGAAAAACGCTAGGGGAGAAGTGGAAAGTACCGGTAGTTGTTTGTACAGGTGGTCGTCTTGGTCAAGTGGTCGCAAGAGTAGGTTCATCTGTATCTTCAAATACGCATTTCTAGACCCCCCCCCCCCCTCTCTCTCTCTTAGCCAACTAATTTGTCTCTATGGCTGCCCTCTTGCCATCTTCTCTAGCTCTGCTTGGTCTTTTTTTACTGCTTCTCTGTCTGCCTTTTACTGACCAACCGATCTTTTTGTTCGTTTCTATGATTTGATCTTTTCTTCTTTTTAAAAAAAACTTTTTTGTCCACAGTCCCTTCAGTTTGACCCTGCCAGTGCGACCTTACGAGTGTCAGGCCAAGAGTACAAGGTGGATCACAATGTGTATGTGGTGGGTCTTGGTAAGGCGGTGCTGGGGATGGCCAGAGCTGTAGAGGATTGTCTGGGGAGTCACCTGGTGCGAGGTGTGATCAGCGTGCCCTCTGGTGTCGTCACTGCGCTTGTGGAAGCCGGCAAAGAGTGAGTACATGGACTCGTGTGTGTGTGGGGGTGGGGGGGTATATGTGTGTGTGTGTGTAGGTGTGTATGTGTGGTACGTGTTTTTTGGGGGGAGGGTACATGTGTGTGTGTGGGGGGGGGGGGGTACATGTGTGTGTTTAGGTGTGTGTGTAGGTGTGTGTGTTTGTGTATGTGTGTGTGTGTGTGTGTGTGTGTGTGTGTGTGTGTGTGTGTGTGGGTGTGCACGTGCGTATGGATGTGCCAATGTGCTTGTTTCTGTACGTACGTGTCTGTGTGTATGTTCTGTTTCATGTCTGCGATACAAGACAATACAATGTGTGCCCCCATACATGGGAGAGGGATCCGTGTGCGTGCCTGTGAGTGAGTGTGAGTGAGTGTGAGTGTGCACGTGGGCAGGAGAGAGAGAGAGAGAGAGAGAGAGAGAGAGAGAGAGAGAGAGAGAGAGAGAAAGAGAGAGAGAGAGGGGGGGAGACAGACAGACAGACAGACAGACAGACAGACAGACAGACAGACAGACAGACAGACAGACAGACAGACTGACAGACAGACAGACAGAGATAATGGGCATAGAGCTCATTCTACGATGTTGTCCGTTGCTCTCAGAGACATGTTGCTGAGCTCGCAGTCCAGGATTCGTGTGATGGAAGGAGCAAAGGACAACCTTCCCGACCAGGCTGCACAGGCAGCAGCCCAAGAGATCCACACCCTGGCTAATGGGCTGCAAGATGGAGACCTGCTGGTTGTGCTAATTTCTGGTGGGTTTTCTTTGCTATTATTGATGCAATAAATACAGTTTGAGAGGAGTCTGAAGCATATTCGCATCTTTGCGTATAGGGTCATCATCATCTTCATCATCATCATCATTGTTTGGAAAGCAGGGTAGTATGGAGAGTCTTGTTTGATTTTCAGACAAAATAACATAAAAATATATAATGTTTTAAATTTTTTTAAAATAGACGCAGCTCAATGTTTCGCCTCTTGTACTTCCTCATCATCATCATCATCATCATCATCATCATCATCATCATCATCATCATCATCATCATCATCATCATCATCATCATCATCATCATCATCATTGCCTTAGTCATTATCTCAGCTGTACATTGTACTGATACATTATTATACCACTTCTCCCCAGTGGCGTCGGTTGCCTAGTGGTTAGGCTGCCGGACTCTTAATAGTGAGATTGCGTGTTCTGGGGTTCGAGCCTCAGCTCGGTCCGACGCTGTGTCCTTGGGAAAGGCACTTTACACGAATTTCCCACTTGGCTTGGTCCTTTCGGAGTTGGACGTTAAACTCGGAGGTCCCGCCTCTTAAATAACCTAATAGTGTTGATAGGGGCGTTAAACCTATACCATTTCACCATTTTTTTCCCTTCTCGTCAGGCGGTGGCTCAGCGTTGCTGCCTGCTCCCATCGCCCCCGTGACCCTGGACGAGGTCATGGATGTGACCCGCAGAATGGCCCGGGCCGGGGCCAGCATTGTCCAGCTGAACGCCGTGAGGAAACAACTGGAGGCACTCAAGGGCGGGGGCTTGGCAGAGGCGGCTCAACCAGCACGGGTAAGGTTAAAGGTCACGCTGACAGTAGTTGTGAGTTTTATTTTGATTTTGTTGGTTGATGATGATGGTTGTGGTGGTGGTGGTGAGGGTGATGGTGGTGGTGGTGATAGTGGTGATGATGGTTGAGGTGGTGATTGTGGTGGTGATGATACTGATAGTGGTGGTGACGGTGATGTTAGTGTTGGTGGTGGTGGTGATGGTGATGATGATGATGATGGTGATGGTGATGATGATGATGATGATGATAATGATGGCAGTGTTGGAGTTTTTGGTGTTGGTGGTATTGATGATGATGATGATGATGATGATGATGATGATGATGATGATGATGATGATGATGATGATGATGATGAAGAGGAGGAAGGTGTAGGAATCTATATACATATATACAACTTTCCCACTTTTTTCTTTTGTTTTCTTTTAGTATGAGTCGAGCATGGAGAAGTCTTCAAAGAATAACGTTGCGATTTTTTAGCTTTCATATTTAACCAAAATTGCTGTTGATTTCTGTAGATACCTAAGATGTAAAGTGTTTAACCCCTTGCCCTCCCCAAACTCTTATAGGTTTTATATAGATCTACTTATAACCTTGATGATGACGATCATGGCGATACTGATGATAAGGATAACCATAATATCTATCTATCTATCTATCTATCTATCTATCTATCTATCTATCTATCTATCTAT